ATATTATAAATCGCAGTGTCCCCAATGGCGCCTCCCTCACTCATACTACCAACCTAAACCATACTCTGACAATACCAGGTACTCCACTCAAGCGTCCTTCTTACCAACCCAAGACCACTTTCCAGCATCATCGTCCCAAGCAGTCCTTTCCCCAGCCGGACAAGAAACAGAAGCAGAATCTTTGACTCACATCTCTACTCTCTTCCAGTACCACCCTCCACACGACCTTCTGCCCACCTACGATCATGGACATCAATCACCACAGACACTTGGGAACTTACCATCATTGCCACAGGCTACGCCATCGAGTTCATCTCCATACCACCTCCACGATTCGTTCTAACGCCACCATCCACCGTCCTCCTCCTAGAAATAAAATCCCTTCTGTCAAAGTACGGCATCAGTCCAGTCACCCCTACAGATCAACAAAACTGATTTTTTCCCATTACTTCACAGTCCTGAAACGGGATGGAGGACTAAGACCTATTCTAGATCTTTGAGATCTAAATTATTATATCTTCACAAAACATTTCCGTATGGTGACACTAGAGCGAATCCTACCTATTCTCCAACAAGGTGTCTGGTTCACCTCCATAGACGTAAGCGATCGATGCATACTTCCATATAACCATTTGCCAGGATCATCAGAGGTTCCTCCAGTTTGCCGTAAGAGACCAAGTCCACGAATTCACAGCCCTATCATTCAGCCTCTCCATGGCTCCAAGAGTGTTCAAATGTATGACGCCTGTGGCAGCCCACCTCCACACCCTGGGCATCTTGGTATATCTTTACATAGACAACTGGCTCTTCGTCTCGCTGTCCCCACAGCAGGCAGTCACAGATGTTCGTACCACCATCTTTCTTCTTACGAACCTCAGCATGCGGGTCAATGAACACAAATCAGTTCTCCGTCCAACCCAACACATTGTTTACATAGGAGCCATTCTCGACTCTGTCAAGGGAAGAATATTCCTCACTCAAGAAAGGGTAGTAAAGTTTCACTTCCTCATCACTCATTCCCACCCATATTCCCATGTCACGGCTCACTCCACACAGTGCTTGCTGGGCCTCATGGCTTCGACAATGTCAGCCAAATCACATGCCAGACTGAAGTTACGTTCTCTCCATTCCTGGTATCACACACTATTCTACCCCATGGTAGATCCTCAGTGGAAACTTCTCAAGGTCTCCCCCGTACTTTCTGCTCAGCTCCTTTGGTGGGACAACCCGGCCAATCTACTCATTTTGCTCCTCTCCAATCATCAACCCAGATAACCGTAGATGCGAGCACCACCAGCTTGTGCGCACACTACAACACGCACTCCATTCACGATACCAGGTCCACCACGGAAGCCTCTCTACACGTAAACAACCGGAAACTCCTGGCCATATTCAAGGTGTGCAGGGTGTTCAAACCACTCATCATAGGCAACGTTGTCCAAATAACGATGGACAACACGACAGCATTGTTCTATATCAACAAACATGGAGGCACCCGCTCCCCCCTGGTCCTGTATCTCGCAGTACACTTTTGGGTGTGGTGTATGGAGCGGCACATCTTCCCAGTGACGGTCTACATAGCCACACACAACAGTGTCATAGCAGACCAGTTCAGCCGCAAACGGACACAAACTCACAAGAGGTCCCTTCACTAACCAACCTTTCTACACTTTTGCAACCTCTGGGGACAACCTAAGATCGACATCTTCGCCACCCCTCAAAACGTCAAGTGCAATCTCTTCTGCTCCAGAGCGGGCATCGGCCAAGGATCTCAGGGAGACGGTCAGATAATGGACTGGTCCACCAGCCTCCTGTACCTCTTCCCGCCCATTCTCCTGATACTCAGAACCATATCCAAGATCATGCGTGAACAGGCAAACGTGATCCTCATTGCCCCATGGTGGCTGACACAACCATGGTTCACTACCCTATGTTCCATCAGCACCAGCCGAATCTGCCTGCCCTTGATACCAGATTTTATCACTCAACATCAGGGACGGACCTATCACCCGGACCTTCAAACATTGCAACTCACCATGTGGCGGATCAGGTCTCGATAGAAAATATCCTGGCACATTCCCGCAAACCATCCACTACTAAACTGTACTCATACAAGTAGGCTACCTTCCTCCGTTTTGCTTAAACACCATAATTTACCCACAAAGCCAACTACCCTAGATGCTGTTCTCCAGTTCCTCACACATCTGTTTGGTCAATAACTATCTTTATCAACCATTAAAGTCTACCTCTCTGCCATCACTGCATACCAACCTCAAGACTGCGACGCTGCCATGATTTTCAGGCGCCCTACACTCAAACAATTTTTGAGGGGCGTAGCTCACATGTACTCTCCTGCCCCACCACCTACTCCACAATGGTCGTTCTCCCTCATCCTCCACTACCTGTCGAGACCACCTTTTGAGCCTCTCACCATTGCTTCCAAACACCTACTTTCCCTTAAAACTGTATTCCTTGTGGCAATCACTTCCGCACGGAGAGCTTCTGAACTTGCTGCCCTGAAAACTGACAAGCCATTTCTTCAGTTTCACCAAGACAAAGTTGCCTTCTTACCTAAGCTAGTTTCTAACTTTCATCTCTCACAACGGATCGTACTTCCCACTTTCTTCCCGTCACCCTCATCAGACCTAGAAAGGTCTCTTCACACGGTGGACAGTAAGAGAGCCTTGGCATTCTATTTGTCCAGGATTGCCTCCTTCCGAAGGTCCAAGAGGCTCTTCATCTACCCCCACCCACCTCACAGAGGATCCCACATCTCCTCTCAGACTTTATCACAGTGGACGGTATCGACAATTAAGTTGCCATACCAACTGGCCAGGAAACCTTTGCCTGTCAACGTCAAGGCACACTCAGCCAGAGCCCCTGCTACCTCTGCAGCTTTCTTACATGGCATTCCAATTCCTGATTTTTGTAAGGTCGCCACGTGGTCTACACCATGTACCTTCGCTGCACACTACAGATTGGACCTGAGAGTGAAGGCAGATGCATTCTTTGGGAGGGCAGTTCTCTCATCTATCCTTCAGTGACATTCCTCCTTCTCTAGTTAAGCTTGCTAGTCACCCATTAGTGTGTATTCACAGAGACCACGAAGAAGAAAGAGAGGTTACTTAACTGTACAGTGGGGTCTCTACGTAAGAACTTAATCTGTATTGGAAGGTGGTTCTCAAGTTGAAAAGTTCTTATGTTGAATCTGCATTTCCCATAGGAATGCATTGAAAACCATTTAATCCGTATCTGCTCTTTTCCGTCCATAGAAACTACAGTGGAACCTCTACTTAAGAACTTAATCCGTTTTGGAATGGTGTTCTTAAGTTGAAACGTTCTTAAGTTGAAGCAAAATTTCCCATAGGAATGGACTGAAAACCAATTAATCCGTTCTGGCTGTTTTTTTGTTATGTAGAGGTGCGTTCGTACATTGAAGCATTAGTTCCCATAGGAACTAATGCAAAGCTGGTTAATACGTACTCTACCACTAGGGGGAGAATTTTTTTTAACCTAAGATGACCTAAGGTTAAAAAAAGAGCAGGAAAGGTTTTTTTCCTGTTCTTATCTTGGATTTCTGTTCTCAAGTAGAAGCAAAAATTAGCAAATGTCGAATTCACATTTCCCACCTGTCCTCCCCTCTGTTCATCACTTCTGTATCTACTGATGCAGCGGCGGGCTGTTACCAGAACTGAGGTAACTCTGAGGGCGGGTGGACCTCGTGGGCTGAGGGGGTGTTGCATTGCCTAAAAGCATTAAGCTCTAGAATATTCCAGAGATCTCTGCTTAACCCGTTAGTGTGAATTCACAGAGGACCACTCAAAGAACCAGTTACAGGTAAGTAACCTCTCTATCCCCCCCTTATCACAACGATACATCCATAACAAAAAAACACCCTGATCGCCATTATCAACCAATCTCCTGAAAAGGACAAAAAGCTGATCCCACAGCTTCAAATACTCAACTATACTACACTAGAACACAGACAGAGTTCTACTCCTGTCCTTCAAGAATTAATTGTAACAAGTTGCTTTGTTGTTATGTGCCATCAGGTCTTGAATGGCAACCTTATGAATTAATGACTTATAAAACATGATGTTGTTATTACCTTTTCTAGTGAGTCTTATATTCTGATGATGTGCCCAGGGTACAATGGCCTCAGTTTAGTCATGTTTGCTTCTAGAGATTACTTTAGGCTTCTTTTGATCTAGAATACACTTATTTACCTTTTTCCTGGTGCTTGGAATCTATAAAGATATCTTCTCTCAAAACGTATTTTTTTTCCTGTCAGCATTCTTTACTGTCCAGCTTTTACACCAATGCCTTGGGTCTTTGGGAGTCACAATGCTTCCTGGGAATTACAAGGACTCATGGAACCGAATTTCTTTGGAGGGGCCTGGCATAGAGCTTACTAGGCAGGAGGATTACCCCTCTCATGAGTCCTTGTGATTTGCATGAAGAATTGTGATTCCCAAGGACCACCAGGCAGTTTGTTTCATCCTGAAATGAACAAAATGGTGGTGGAAACACAGTATGAAGGTAGGGACAGCTGCTTTGTGGACTTTGATTTTTCAGCTGCATCTTCCAGAATTCAGCCAAGCCAGTGTTGCTGCCCATTTGCTTTCAGTCACAGTCAGAACCCTGCATGGGGGTGGGGGCTGTCCAGCACCAGTGGAAAATTAGAGGGGAACATTGGGTATGACCTTATATGGAACCTTGGGTGGGTAGATTTGGTTTCAGGTCCTGAAGTTCCACACCTCTTCTTTTGCTCTTATGAAATTGAATCCAGATAAAAACTAGTAGTTTTTAGACAGATTGAAACTTAAGAAAAGTTAGTTGTGGCTAATTCTAACGGCATTGATTTCAGCAGATGTTAGTATGACTTAGTTTGGATCTATCATATTGTATGACATTTTTTAGCATGCTGTTACAAAGTTACATGAAATTTTTGAATAAAAAATAAATAGGGTTTGGATTTTTTTTGTTGTTTAATCTTTCAGAATGGCAAAGCCACAGCTAGTGCTGGAGCAGGAGTAATAGATCTCACGCTAGATGATGAAGAGGATGGCGCTTCTCAAGGTAAGTAAGAAGAGATGTCCCAGATATGATAGGATTTTGCTACCTGGAGTTGATGAATGGCCTATATTTGCTAAAGTAAATACTTGTGGAGTAAGATAATTTCTCAGAAATCACAACATCAATTTTAAAGTTTAAAATACTGTAATTGTTACTCCCTCTCACTGTCTAATATATGCATGAACACACTATTTTAGTCCATAAATGCTTTTGCTATATTGTTGTTACATGCCATGAAGTTGTCCCCGACCCATCGGAACCCTATGAATGAATGATCTCCAGAGTGTGCTGTCCTCTATAGCCCTGCTCAACTCTTGTAAGCTCAAGCCTGTGGCTTCCTTTAGGGAGTCAGTCAGTCTTGTATTTTTTTCCTCTTTGCCTTCTACCTTCAGCCTTCCCCAGCATTTTTGCCTCTAGAGATAGTCCAGGATTAATTTGTTCTAGGACTTATTTGTTACGTTTCTGGCAGTCAAAGATATCTGCAAAGCTGTTCCCCAGCACATTCTGTTGTCATTTAACTCTTTAAAGTGCTACAGTGCTTTGTTTCAGCAACAGCCGATTAGCATGGTTATCCCTCTAGAAGAGCTATGTGAAAGATCAGGAAAAATCTTTAAAATAATTTACAGAGAACTCATGGTCTATGCCATGTGCAAGAGGACAGGATACATTGCCTTCACCAGACCATCCAACGTCTGGTTCCTTGATCCTGCTAAAAGCTTCACTTCCACCAGCCAGAAAAGGGACTCTTTGGTATCTCTAATTTCTAGTCACTGACCATAGATAAAAAGAGGAATGGCTTTTCCACTCTTAGTGAGCACTCCAAGGAATTTCTAGCAGTGTGTATTGTGGTGGCTGCTTGATTTTACTCCTCTGTGCCCCCTCCTTACACGGAGAAGACAGTAATGGAGAAAAGCTAAACTGCCAAGTGGATAAGCCACATCCAGTGTTTCTACTTGAAGCTGAATGATGTTAAGGGGCATTGCCATTCTGAAATCAATTGTTCAACAGAGAGGTGAAGTAATATTGCCCCTTATTCTGTTTCCCTTCCTTGGTTACATTGATCTAGCTTATGTGAGGTTGAAAAAAAAAGAATATAGTAATTTAAATCATTTAATGCTGTCTAGAAATGGGATGGAGAGTAAGTTTTCTCTTTGTGGAATAATGTTTTGAGGTAGAAATACTTGATTTGTAATACGACGTACCCTACATTTTTTCTTTGTGGTCTCTGGAATCGTAAATGCAGATTTGTTCCATACCTGCATGAAGTCCTCAGAACCTTCTAGAACTTAAAAAAGTACATACCTGCTACCCCAAGGATAGTCCTCAGTTCCTTTACACCACCCCAGAAAGAACATCTCAAAATTCTTCTGAGCCAACATTTGTCATTTTAACAAATCATTTGTATATACCGTATTTTTCTGTGTATAAGATGCCCCCATGTATAAGCCCCGCCACTTTTCTAACCCTACATTAGAAAATTTAAACTTAACTTTGAGCATTCAGCCTCTGGGCTCAGAATGCTCGGACATGAATCTGAGCACTGCCTATAGGCTCCACCTCCAACGAGGTGTGTTCTAATTGGTTTGTTCAGCATCAATTGACCTCAGTTCCATAAGGCTCATGATTGGAGGACGCTAAGTCTGCTGACTGTAGGAAGCTAAGCCATTTGATTGAAGGAAACTTGTTTGCAGAAGCAAGGTATGGGCTATTTTGTTCCCCCCTCAGCTTTTTTTTCCATGTATAAGACGCCCCTCAATTTTTAGTCTAAAGATTTTAGGTAAAAGTATTGTCTTATACACAGAAAAATACAGTAGTTATTTACCTCTTTATTATTACCTTCCTTCAGCACAGTAGTTTTGTGCTTTAGTAGTTTGTCACTAGTTTGCCACTTGGTGGTTAACAGCTGTTCCTACCTTTTTATGGCCCCATTGGTGTGCAACAGTTGGTGTGCAACTGTTAACACTAAAATTCCTCTCACCGATAGACATTCAAAGTGCCTCTGTTGCCTCAGTGAAGGGAATCAACCACAGCATTGCCAGAAATTCACCAGTTTTGCCATCCAAAACTGCCAGTCCCGCTTAAACTTTTGCTTGTGGGAAAATTCTCTGAAAGCAGTAGAAGATCCCAAGCAGTAGAAGATCACCAAGAAGATCCCAACTCTGGCATCCATAGTTTCACCAGCACCAACAAAAAAAACCCCACTTGTAGAGACTCTTCAGACAAGCCCTCCTTCTGTCAAACCTACCAGAGAACAGGCTCCTGAGTCAGACCTACTTGTTTCCCACCCTGACTCCAGAGCTGAAGTCAGACTGTTGACTTTGAAAGTGCTGAAACGACACCATCAGCATCAAAGAGAAAGAAGAGGTTGGTCAATCCCGACACCCAGATAAAAAAAGAAATCAGTTGATCCCTATGCTCAGTCCAAGAAGCCTAAGCTTGAGAAACTGAAAGACCAGACACCTTAATCTAAACACCACTCTTATTGCGTCCTGCCAAAGCCCCAGGCAACCAGGACAATAACTGTAGTGATCCCATCTGCCTTGGATTGGCATTAGAAGCAGACTTGTCCTATAGTAGGGCATTATCGCACGCTTTCAGCCACTCACGTGAGTGGGATCAGCTTGCCCATTTAAACAAGTTATCATTGCCTCGCAAAAGCCCAGGACCCATTGAACCAGAGGAATCATATATTATCTGAGAATGCTGTCCAGCTTTGTGCTCAACTGCTAAGGATAAGTCTCCTTCAACAGGGAGGTGGATGGCCAAGTGACATCACTAGTGGCAGAATCCATATTCCCCCCCCCCCCCAATTCTACCTTAATCTGGTGCCCTACTATTATCCTGCGTGGAGTAGTCTTTCCCACCACCGTTTTACCACTATCGCATGATGCCGAGCAATAAGTCTTATGAATGATATTGAGGTCCTGTTTCATGCATGTTCTGGTTCCCTGCACCCATTGATCTCAAGATCTTCTGCCTTTGAAGACATCCTTACTAAAACACTCATGTAGGGCCGTGCTTCCACATCACCTGACTCCAGGCACACTTTTACAGTTTCGGTGTCGAACAATCCAAATTGGCAGGATTGACTGCATGAACATGACACTGGACTTCTATACCTAAATCACCGAAGAAGAGATGTCTTTCATGTTACTCTTGCTCCATGTCTATATCACCCTTGAGGAAAGTATGCTGCCACCCCTCAATCATAACGACTGTTCCTCATCAGCATTGATGAGGAATCCAAGGTCAGTTCCCCATCATAGTCATATTCCAGGTCTCTTATTTCAACCTGCAGGCACTACAAAATCTACTTAGCAGGAAACAAATAGAAAACCTGCACTCGCTGTTGAACCCAGCATTGAAATCACCTTCTCAGATTCAAGATCCCCAACTCCACATACATACATCACAATAGAAGACAAAATCAGAGTGCTCTCTGACCCCACAATCACCCAAGCACTCAAACCTGAAGAGATCAAGGTCAGTCCTTGTTGTTAGCCATGACCTCACTGTTCCACTGCAATTCTCCAAATCATATACCACCAACTATTGCTGTTGTGTCTCTGAAGCGAACATATTGACACAAGTTTCCAAGAAACAACTGCCAGATCCACTTATCTCAGCATCTTTCTCCAGGTGCAAACACCATTCTTCTGCACAAGAAAAAAAAACTCAGTTATCATTATGCCAGTTGATTCCAACCTCTGGTATATGATCAGATCAGCAAAAACTACCGTATTTTTCCGTGTATGCTACTTTTTCCTAAAATCATTACACTAAAAATCGAGAGTGATCTTTTACATGGAAGTAAGCTGAGATAGCTGATGAGAGAACAAAACAGCACATACCTTGCCTCTGAAAACAGACTTCCTTCAGTCACAAGGCTTGTTGTTTGTTTAGTCATTTAGTCGTGTCCGACTCTTCGTGACCCCACGGACCAGAGCACGCCAGGCCCTCCTGTCTTCCACTGCCTCCCGGAGCTGAGCCAAATTCATGTTGGTCACTTCGATGACACTGTCCAACCATATCCTCTGTCATCCCCTTCTCCTCTTGCCTCCACACTTTCCTAACATCAGGGTCTTTTCCAGGGAGTCTTCTCTTCTCATGAGATGGCCAAAGTATTGGAGCCTCAGCTTCAGGATCCGTCCTTCCAGTGAGCACTCAGGGTTGATTTCCTTTAGAATGGATTGGTTTGTTCTCCTTGCAGTCCAGGGGACTCTCAAGAGTCTCCTCCAGCACCACAATTCAAAAGCATCAATTCTTCGGCGGTCAGCTTTCTTTATGGTCCAGCTCTCACTTCCGTACATCACTACAGGAAAAATCATAGCTTTGACTATTCTGACTTTTGTTGGCAAG